TTTTTTAGGTTAGAAGAAACCTTCATGAATTACAAAGTTTACGCTCAATTGCGTCACGGCCTTATGTGCAAAACTTGCTGGACAAAGAGATTGATGGCTGCCAGAAGCGACTAGAAGAGGTTATAAATGCCTTTTTACTGGGTTTGTATTTGTTCTTCATCTATAACATAACTGAAATTTTGTTTTTCAGCTTCAGTCGACATCCGTTGAGTCACCGCTTAACGGCACTGCGACTTCTTCAGACACCCCTTCAAAGCCGTTTATGCCGTCTGGCCCATTGCCAACTGTGAAAATCACTAATTATGGTTTGTTTCGTCCCTTAATCAAACTCCATCGAATGTCAGATGAGTAACTTTTTGAAATGTAATGCCATGGGATTTTAGGTCTTAGGCTTAGGCCCTTCAATGGTGAAAAGTTTTTCAAGTTTCCCCGTTTAAGAAGTTTTATATTCGAGGCTCAGTACTCTTCTGTAAAATGCTTTTAGCTTGGGATCAAAGCGACAAGTTTGTCAAACTGTATTTGACGATACCCGGCATTCATACGGTTCCAGCTAATCAAATAGTTGTGAATTTTGCCAGCAAGTATGTTTTACTCCTGTAGATATGAATTTGACAAGTTTAAATTATCTTTATTTTTTCACAATCCAACAACTTGCAATTTCTGAAACAGTCTAGCTCTTTTATGAATTGCAATTTCTGCAAGTTCTAATTACAGCGATATTTTTGGTTTTATGGAAAATGCCTTTTTTACTGCTATTTGTATTTGATTTTTCGGTAGCAGGACATCGGGTGATACCACTTCAGATTTAAAGTAGCAATTTTCAGTCGCTTCGATATGACAGCCACTAATGTTGACGGAAAAAATTATGAGTTGGTAATGAAAGGTCTCATGCAACAAATCGACCCGGGAGCGTCTTACTTTAAGGTAAGTTGCATTCTATTATTGTAGTTATTCATCAGACTGCTTCATTGCGTTAACTCTCATAGCCCAATAAGATTGTAGATGAATGTTTTGAAAGTGCAGCAAGCGACTTACGCTTATTTACGTGTGCAGTTCGTTTTTCCCCAATCACTGCGTATGAGCCTTAAGGGAATGCAAACAAACATTGTGATCGGGGTCGACAAAGCTGTAATGCGATTATTTTAGCAAAAAACGGACTCTTTGTTGATAATGCTGAAGAAGAAAGAAGGAGGTAAATGGGAGCATCTTGTGAAGGCCGAGACGAGCACCAAAGACAAGAGGTTGGTACCATTTGTTGGGATTTATCTCTCAGCACTTTATAATTTCCAGTCAGGTATTATGAACGATTGACCGTGAAGAAGTGTAAAGCCTGCGACATTGTTTTAAGTAGCTCTAGAAATATCCTTTCAAGATAGCTTCTAAAGGAAGTTATCGTTTTAGCAATTTCAAATTCGATGAAAAAGCCGATCCTCAAGAATCTCTGATGAAAATGATGAAGCAGATGTACGATGAAGGAGATGACGACATGAAGCGAACGATTCGAAAAGCATGGCACGAAAGTCAGACCAATAAGGCGAAAAACCCCGACCTGGACGTCTGATAACACCTCAAAATACCGGTAATGAACTTGGCAATGCCGAGTCTCCAGTTTTGCCTGTGGTCCAGGATTTCCACGAGCTTCAGAACTAGTTTTTTCTTGGTCCGTTTAACCCACGAATTGCTGCTCACAAAGTTTGACTTTATCTCATCATTTGCTTTTCTCGTTCCTGGCTTCAAATGGCAAGTAGCCTGGTTTTTGTTTGTCTGAGGATTAGGGACGAAATACAAGAGCTGCTGTTCATATGGCCTCATTTAAATTTGGCTTTATCTTCAGCAGTTTGTGTTCTTCTATCAATAAATCGTGCGATTAAATATGTAGTTGAAGTAAAAGAGACCAACCAAGCATCATTCATTTTTTCTGATCGTTCTGGGAAACCAATCGTCTGGTAAACAACGTTTATTTATAGAAAACTGATAAACTAGCAATGGAAGCTGCTTTCAGTTTTGAAATAGTGAAATGCGAGCTTACATTTCAAAAGCTGTTTCACTTACAGACGAGTCGTGTACATTCAAATTGATCAAAAGACCAAAGTTAAAAAAAGAAAAAAGTCGGTGACTTTTGGGAAAGGTGGGCCTGATGCTGTAGTTTCATTAATGCTGCCAGGCCTTATATTCTTTGTGGAAGCAGTAAACTTAGATGGTTCCTGGGATTGAGTAGAACAGGATGTCGTTTGAATGTCGTGCAGGTGAAGAGAACGCCCAGTGTTTGTGTGTAGCAGTGCTGAGCGTTAGAGATGTCAGTGGAGGCATAATTAAAGTTGGTCATCGCGAGTAGAACTTTTTTCTGGGAAGTTGAATTCCACAAGACTGTCATTTTCTCTGAAAAAGTGTATTTTTGAGACAAAATTGAGTTTCCGGGGGGAAGATGAAATAAGACTGCACATTTAGTTAAATTGAGAGTATTGTTGATTTGGGCTCTAAGTTATTATCCATTTAAGGCTAAAGCAGATGACTGACTTAGCCTTGTTTAGAAGACAGCATATTTGACCTAACTTTAATTTGTTTTTTTGCTTAAACAGGCACTAAGAAATGGTGCTTACATATTTTGCAGGAGCCAATCCCGCACCACACTGTCATCACTTAGCTTGGACAGCAGTTCCGTTATTGACTGCAACACTTCCTAAATATTATTTGTGTAAAACCGCATCCGATTTCTCACAGTCACCAAAAGATGAAAGGGAAAGGTACTTTGTTTAGTGCCCTCCCGAACTTGAGAAATTGTTCGTGGTCTTCTATCATTGTTATATAAAATTCTTCCGAAGTTAAATCAACATTTGCAGTAGAGAAGTGAGACAATGATTTGCGAATGAGTGATAGTAAGTGGAAGATTTGATGTGCTATGTAATCAAGATGGATAGCTTCTACTCGCAGCGAAGTCCAGTTCCAAAGACGGTCTAAGAGGCTCTGTATGCGAAAGTACGACTAGAAAATATTTAAACGTCATTATAGTGCTTATAAGTAGGTAGAACTCTAAGCAAATAAGGTACCATACATCTCCGCCTTTACAGAAATGCGGTGTTTATTGTTGATAGTAGCCCCGTTGGTAATAAAATAAAATTTTAACCTAGCGGCCACTCTTCTTTAAAACGAAAAGACGGAACAATTACCACTTGAAACATGGCCGAAACTGCAGTAACCTGGAACTGGAGATATTCTGCTTGGTGGCGTAACTGAAAGAGCTCAGTACTTAGCAGTCTGTGTAGAAGAAGCTTGTAAAATTCTGCAAGAGATTTAATTTTTCGCCATAACTTTCATACTTCTTGAACTTCTTTACACCGGCAGCTTACAAAATGGCAACAATCAAGCCCAAATATAATTGCGATGGGAGCGGAGAACTCAAGCCCAACTAGTATTATTCTTTGGAGCCTTTAGATTTCAACTTCTTGCAGCATTTGCATAGTTAATTTAAACAAGCGGGAATTTATACAAACGAAGCATTTTGTCTTTTATGACCCCAAAAACCTGAGAAAAAAAATGTTTTTAGCACAAGTATGGTTCAAGTGACTAACTGTTGTTCATTACCAAACAGACAGCTGTATAACTTCTTCTGGCGGTATGAATGGGAAGAAATGCAGTAGGGGTGCAAGTGGAGATAGAAATAAAAGAGGCGATTGTACCTGAGGAAGTCCACTTACGTCGTCAAACAATGCGGAGTTCACGCAGTTCATAGTCGAGAAATGAGTGTATAAAGATGGGAGACAGCAACGCCAGTAAGTTTTGCTCAACAGTGCTGAAAATAAGCCAACTTATGCTGCGTGGTACACCACGAAGGAACTAAAAAACAAAACCAGATTAAAAAGAGGTACTGCAATATGCAATGCACAACTAACTGTGGTAATAGTGGTAGTTTAAATTTTGGGTTGCCTCCAAAAATCTGAAGCGCTAAAGGCAAATTCAATTTTTAGATCGACGATCGCTGCCGCAGGCATCATCATTCTGTTGGTCAAAGCGTTTAGAGAGTTAAAACAGTACCTTCTTTGTACTGGATAAAAAAGTTCGAGACGTTGTATTTGAATTTCAGTTCAAGGCTTTGTGCATGCCTAGAGGAGTTCACCGCTACAAATAAGAAAGAATAGTACGGGGAGTGCAGTTGAAACAGTTTCATAGGTTGGTTAGCTGTAACCTGCAATCTGATTTTTCCAATTTTTATATCAATATTTGGGTTCTGTTCATAATCATTATTCCTGGGTTTTTGCTAGCATACTGAAGTGCTGAAAATTTGCGGTAGTAGTCTATGACTTTCTGTAATGGTCTGTTCACAAATTTTTTTTGAAACAAATCGAGGGAAGAAAAACTACATTTAGGTCAGTAGTGAAGACTGTTTAAACTATGTGGCTGTTTAAGCTACAACACAATGGAAGGAAAATCTTGTCATTTTAATAAACTTCGAAAGAAATGCGTTGCGCAAAAGCTGTTTAATTTTGGCCGAAATGGTATCGTCATGGTGACACTGACATTTGTCTGTAAAAGACTGGAAAAAGTTAGCAAAGTAGTATAAACAATCGCTGTTGTTACTGGAAGTGGAACTAGTATAAGAATTGTTGCTTTTAAAAATATAATTTATTCCCTCTTATCTTACTGTTAACAGATATTGACTTTTCAAAATGTACGGTTGGAGTACGGCTCATCAAGGGTTTTTGGATACTCTAATCAATTTGATCCTGATCCTTCAGATATCCAGAGTTATACAACCTGTGTTGTCGCTGACAAGTAGAAATTATGAAGACTGTGGTTACAGTAATCATTTAGGACCGTTGGAAGAGAGCGATAAAAATAGCTCGGTAATTATTTCTTACCTTTCATTGTCCTCTTTAATTTAAAGGTTAAAACTACGTGTCGTGGAAATAGTTATTTATGTTTATATCTTAGAAGCTAATTTTAATAAGAAAAAGGTGTAGGGGAACCCGAGGAAAAAAATCGAAAAATGTTTACATCGAGTTTTGGCTCCTTGTTTTTCTTTTTAGAAGTGATTGTGCTGTCTGTTGTTATTAGCTTGCTGATGTGAAAAATTTTCGGCTGTTATCGGAATTATAAGTAGTAAGGATTCAAACTGCTTTAACTGTCAAATTTATCATTTTTGCATTAAGACTTTAGAATTTATTGCATAAGTGTTTCCTGCGATGGTTATTGCTTAAGCTAACTATCGTAAGATTGCTTTCACAGCTGTATGAGAAATTTTTTTTGGAAAGTTGACGGCTCTTCTGTTTTTAAGCAAACTGGCGTCTCCGAATAAGACTAGAAGTCAGTGGCCTGGAAAAAGATTTTTTTTAGCAAGTGAAAAATGAAGTGTCAGAAGTTCAAAGTCTAGTTCTTTATTAATTTCTTTCTGTCATAGTATTTATGCCTGTTCAGG